GGATGAATCTGGAAACCATCATCCTCAGGAAACTGACGCAAGAACAGAAAACCAAACATCGTATGTTCTCACTCATAGGCAGGTGCTGAACGATGAGAATACATGGACACAGGGAGGAGAATATCACATGGTGGGGTCTATTGGGGGTTGGGCGGCTAGAAGAGGGATAGTGGCAGGGTGGGAGGATTAGGAAGGGATAACATTGGGAGAAATACCTAATGTAGGAGACAGGGAAATAGAGGCAGCAAACCACCATGGCAAGTGTATACCTATGTAACATTCCTGCAAGATCTATACATGTATTCCAGAAATTAAAGTATAATAATAAAAAAAAGAAGTAGAGTTCATCATAGTTGTATCGGTAATCTTAATGGATTTTTCCTCCTTTTGCTCACTTAAACTTGTTGATAATGTGGATTACTAAATCCTAACCCTAATTTTTAGTTTTGAAAATTAGTATTAGCCGAGCATGGTGGCTCACGCCCGTAATCCAAGCACTTTGGAGGCCAAGGTGGGCGGATCACGTGAGGTCGGGAGTTCAAGACCAGCCTGACCAACATGATGAAACCCTGTCTTTAAAAAAAAAAAAGAAAGTATATTTTTAGTATCATGTTTTCTTAGTGCAGTAGTGGTGTATTCTACACTAATATCAGGAGTAATTAGCATGTAGTCATCATGACATAGCAATAAAATGATTGGATTGATCTATGCAAAGAAGGACTGGTATTATGGTTTCAGTATTGAAACAGTGTGTAACAACAAGCCATTTATAATGTCACCAAGGAGATACATCTTGTACATATTTGCCTCCTTTGTAAATTAGATCAGCCAATAATTTTCACAAAAATTAAAGACTAGAATATGGTTTGTTAAATAGCAAATAGTTTAGAATATTGTTATATTTGCTGCTTTTTAAGTTAAATGCAATACTTGTGTATATTTCTTTTTGAACTTTCCTCTTTTTCTCAATTTGCAATAGAGCATGATACAATACAGCAGTGGATTTTAGAAAAAAAAAATTAGAGCACGATACAATGATGGATTTTAGAGAAAAAAGATAGCATGAATTACTCCCTGGGTGGGAACCTCTTAGTTTTATGGGTTGTTAATTTTCCATTTAATGACTGCATGACATGGTAACTCAGAGAAGTTACTGTTGTACAAACACACATGACAGAATCACCAAACCACCCCTGTTGCTTCTTTCTACCCTTGTCTCATTGGACAGACCAAATTGACCAAAAATCAGAGCAGATTTAACCATAAAGAGTTAATTGGATTGTTTAGGCTTTGGGACATAAAATGATGGAAAAGAAATTGGGTTTAGTTAATTGTGCTATGAATCACTTCTTTGTAAATTAACATGTGGCTTCATATTCTCAGAATTTGACTGTTTTTTGGCAAATTTTCATTGACCCTATGGGCTCCATTATCAACATGAAGACTTTGTAATTATGGATGAGGGAGGAGTCTCATTTTTAATTCTTCAGCCAATGAAGACTCCAAGATTTCCTCCTCTGAAATCCACCCGAACATAACTCCGACATGGATTTCTGGAAGAACCCCAGCTCTTTCCAAAATATGTCATGAGACTTCCGTTGCTGATGGAGTCTGTGTAGTTTATCTGATGCCCGGAAATCTTGATACTTTTCCTCTTGACTTTTTGGCTTTTTTTTTTAACCTCTTGACTTTTTTGCAAGTGTTTTATTGAGATATAATTTCATTGGGTTTTTAGTATATTCAGAGTTGAACACCCAGCACCACATTTAATCGTAGAACATTTTCAGTTTACTGAAAATAAACTCTCCACTTTTTTGTTTGTTTGTTTGTTTGTTTTGAGATGGAGTCTTGTTCTGTTGCCCAGGCTGGAGTGCAGTGGCATCATCTCAGCTCACTGCAACCTCTGCCTCCCAGGTCCAAGGGATTTTCCTGTGTCAGCCTCTTCAATAGCTGGGATTACAGGTGTACACCACCATGCCCAGCTAATTTTTGTATTTTTAGTAGAGACAAGGTTTCACCATATTGGCCAGGCTCATCTCTATCTCCTGACCTCAGGTGATCCACCCACCTCAGCCTCCCAAAATGTAGGGATTACAGGTGTGAGCTACCTCACCTTAGAAACTATACCTTTTGGGCATCACAGTTGAATCCTCATATTATCCCCAGCCTTAGGCAACCACATTCTGCCTCTCTAGATTTGCCTATTCCAGACATTCTGATACTATCCCCAGCCTTAAGCTATCATATTCTGTCTCTATAGATTTTCCTATTCCAGACATTCCATATAAAGGGAATCCTATATTATGTCATCTTTGTAACTGGTTTCCTTTACTTAGCATATTGTTCATCCGTATGGTAGTCCCCACCCCCATCCAAGGGGAAACCATTCTGAGATCCCCCAGTGGATGGCTGAAACCATATGTAGTGTTTTTTTTCATATACATACATGACTGTGATAAAGTTTAATTTATAAATTAGGCAGAATAAGAGACAGCAACAATAAAATAGCACAGTTATAACAATATACTATAATAAAACTTATGTGAATGTGGTCTCTCTCACATACTGTGAGTAACTGAAACCGTGGAAAGTGAAACTGGACAGCGGGGGACTACCCTACTTCATTTATTTCAATTGCTGAGTAATCTTTTGTATGGATTTATTATTCATCAGTTGATTGGCATTTGTGATCCCACTTTCTGGCTATTATGACTAATGTTACTGTTGACAAGTTTTTGTATGAATATATGTTTTCATTTCTTTTGGATATATACTTAGGAGTGGAAATGCTGGGTCATATAGCAGTTCTTTGTTTTATTTATTTATTTGACAAAAAGTCTTGATCTGTCACCCAGGCTGGAGTGCAGTGGTGCGATTGTGGCTCCCTGTGACCTCTGCCTCCCTGGTTTAAGTGATTCTCCCAAGTAGCTGAGATTACAGTCATGTGCCACCAACCTGGCTAATTTTTGTATTTTTAGTAGAGACAGGGTTTTGCCATGTTGGTCAGGCTGGTCTTGAACTCCTGACCTCCAGTGATCCACCCGCCTTGGCCTCCCAAAGTGATGGGATTACAGACGTAAGCTGCCACACCCAGCCTGTGTTTAATTTTTGAGTAACAGCCAGAGTGCTTCCCAAAGTAGCTTATGCCATTTTATATTTTCATCAGCAATGTATGAGGGTTCCAATTTTTTTTTTTTTTTTTTTGCATCCTCTCCAAACTCTATATCATTGTGAAATTCCCTGACCTCTGC